AGTTTTTCTATTTATAATTTTTTAATATTAAATTTTTTCTATTTAATTATCAAACTTTCATGATATGGATCTCGGATTTGATGGGTTAACATAGTTGAGTTATATTTTTTTCATTAGAAAAACTAAATTAAATGAAAAAAATTAATTAAAAAAATTATGGGTTAACTCGTTAAATCATGTTAACCTATTAAATTTAAGATTCATGTAATAAAAGTTTGATAACTAAATAAAAAAATTAATATTAAAAAACTAAATTAAAAGATTCATTAAAAAAATAAAGCTTACCATTTTATTTACTTTTTTAGTATATGTTATATTATAATATAATAATAATGATAATTATAATATAATAATTATAATAATATAATATATTAATAACAGGAAAAGTCTAAAAGGCATGGGAAAAGCTACTTTCCCAACACCTTTTAAGTATTAGTTAATATTGTCTGAAGCTTATCTTTTTTGAGAATCGTCTCATCCTTATCTCCGAAACCAAACGATCTTGTCACTGTCTTCGTGAAAAAAAGATGAGAGTCAAAAGTACCACCACGAAATGTCTCTGCAGGTCATCACTGTCACCATCACAGAAACTCGGTTTTATTCATGGAGATAAGGTGCCCACGGGGCTCAGAATTCTGATCTGGTAATCAAGTCAGCCACACATACATACATGTATAAATATGGTATGTCGCCAGTTGACAGGTCTAATTCATTTACATGGGCCTGGCCATCCATGAAGCACGTCTCTTGCGTTAACTTAAGGCCCGTGCTATTTCAGGCATGCCTTCTACTCCAAGGCTAGTAAATCAGTCACGTTGGGGAAATGTACTTGTAAGTTTCAGATGAGAAGAGTTAGAAATATTCCAGCATCCACTGCAACACCATAAGGCCTGTGCTAAGTTCATTTGCGACTGCATTCATTTAGGCTGTGCGTGGTGCCCGCCAGCTTTTTTGTGCTCTGCGTTAATGAGTAGTTAGCTAGCAGCGTTAACAGGATCTCATATGAACCATGTGAGGTGCAGACAAGGGCACATCCATATCATTGTTGGAAAAGAAATTGCAGTGAGAATTTTAGTTCTGTCAAATGAAACAGGTTTTCTGGAAGAGGTGCGAGGGTTAATTTGGGGTTTTGGCTGTCATATATTGACATCCCACATGGTGCTAACTCATCCTCAAGAGTCAGATTCCATGGGTAAAGAGATTAGATAGCTTATACCTATGGATGATGAGAATAGGCCCCCGCATGGCAAATAAGAGGGATAGTAGCCTGTTCAAGGCAGGATCTAGATCGGACAAGAAAACTTCGACTACTGCTAGCAGGATGCAGAAGACTGCAACAGTGAATTTGACTCCTGAGAGTTTCTGATTGCAGAGTTCAGTTGCCGCAGATTTCTCCCAGTGTAAACTTTGATTTTCTTACTGTTATGATTTGGAAAGCAGGATCAAAATGCTAACCATGTTTCCAGTTGACAAAACCAAGTTGCCGCAGGTTTCTCCAGGCGTCAACTGTGGTCGACCTCAAACCATTAAACAAGCCACGGTTGCATTAGAAGACATGTAACCACCTATAATCAGCTATTAGGTTGGTTCCTGAACGCTTCCCTTAAAAATTAAAAATGAATCATTAGTAAATGCCCAATTAAACCAATACATGCTCCAGATTTTTTCAGGGTCACCAGCAGTTCATGGCAAGGACCAGCAAAGGCAACGCATGGAAGATATAGCAGGAAAAGGTAATATTATTAAACCATACAAGACAACAATCTATTTTGGTGAAACATTACTTATTCTGCTCGAAGTTTCAATTCAGTACACAACTCGAGTTCATTAAAGGACACATTTCCATCATTTTACTATAACTGCTGCTCTGCATTTTCATTTTCAGAAAACTTGCTATTATAGCTTTGAGGGAGGCTTGTACCAACCCCATGGTTCTTCAGAGATATATTGAGTTACCTGCTTCACACTTAAGTAGTTTTCAAGTCCCCTGACGAAAAACGATAGCAAAAGGAGTCAGAATCAGCAATAAGTTGACGCCAGTCTAGAGTAATTTCAATAATTTATCGTGGGGTGAAAAAAGGCAGCAGACAGTTTACATCATAACCAAAAAAATTCTCCATTATGCAAAAATAGAGGGAAAATGTTGGTTATGTATTCATAAAATTCTAAACGTTTGGACTTAGCTGACAAAAAATTGTCTCTTGCATATCTTTTTAAGGAAATTAGGTTCGTACCATTCTCCTAATTCACGCCCAAAACCACTGCGCTTAATGCCTCCCCATGGAGCTTGACAGAAGCATGGCTGTGAGCAATTGATCCAGACAATACCTGCCCGGAAAGCCTGCAAAAATGGAGGTAAAGGAAAAAAAATTTAACTCAAAAAGTAAATAATCCCTCTGAACAGATTTTGGTGTGTTATTTGCACATGATTAATTGCTAGTTCAAGTCTCACCTTGGCTACACGATCACACCTCTCTGGATCATTTGATATAACAGCAGCTCCCAAGCCATAACTGTGGGACATCCATAGAAAGTAATAAAATATCCAAGAACCGAGCAGATCAGGGGAAAAAACAACAACAAAAGAAGCAACAACAAAGATGATGGAGATAATATCCCATCCAAGTACTCAGACACGTTCATTGTCTTTATTGAGATACAAGAATAAACTTACTGGGTGTCATTTGCCAAATCGATGGCTTCATCTTCAGTACTAAATGTTTTAACACATAGAACAGGCCCAAAAACTTCTTCTCTCCAGATTTGCATGGAGGTCGTTACATCAATGATGATGGTTGGTTCAACAAAGAATCCCTTGTTTAAATGCTGACAATGTATTTTTAAAAATCACTCAAATACCCCTAAAGTTATAGAGACAGAGCAATCCCACCAATAGCAGGACATATACGTACCTTGGGACGATCCCCACCACTCAAAATGGTTGCACCTTCACTCTTGGCAGTTGCAATGAATTTTAATATTTTATCATACTGCAGCAATGAAGTAAATAATTAAATTAGCAGGTTTAGTTCACCAAGAAGAGTTAACTGTTCAGAAAAGAAAATAAAATACATATACATAATGTGACTATTTGAGATCACAAGTTGAGCAGCAAATCAGATATTAATTGAAACAATGATATTTTTACCAAATACTTGCCTACTAACAACACATAGTAGAAAAGTTAACTTTGTAACTAAATATCACCCCATCTGAACCAACAAAGAGAAATGGAAAATGTAGGATTTAAAAAAATACTTGCCTGCTCTCCACTGACAAGTGGGCCAAGCCTGCAACCCTCTTCGAAAGGATCAGAAATTTTAATTTTTTTGGTCCATTTGACAAGCCTGTCCAAAAATTCTGACGCAATGCTTTCCTGAAATATTAAAGCAAATAAAATCTTAAATTTTTACAAGGCTAACACATTTTAAGAAAAAAATATCATTTGATAAACTATACACTGATGGATGCAAATAGCCAAACATTTCTTATCCCATTTTCTCACTCATAGTAAATCCAAGCTTTTAAGTGGATAAGCTGTTGCAGGCAAGTCACTCATTTACAGTGACAAGATTAGGAAAGTTGTATTATAGTGGTATTTATTGTCCTCGGGGAATACCATTTTCTTGAAGAAACAGCTGAATTTTCAATTAATCTTCGAAGATGAAGAAGATTAGCCGCAGCTGTTAATGTTTTACAGTGACCCCAGACAACAGCAATCTCCGACTTGGAGGGAACTTTTAAAGACTTGCCTTTTGAGAAGGTTTGATAGCTCATTTGACAAAGACACATGTACCGTACAATGTTGTTTTAATGTTTGGATAGCAGCAATGTATGGTTTCTTTTCATGCTTTGACTTGGTCACAAAATCCAAAATTTGGTTACTCTTAGCTAGATTTGGTTTTTGGTAATCTTCACAGCTCCAAGGGATCATTTATAAAACTCTTTAAGGCTGTTGGCTTGGAGTTTGGAGCAGGGCCAGTGCTGCTTCTCTATTTCAAGAAGCTAAATTCATTTTATAGGGTCTTACTAGTTCTGGGTGTAGCTAAAAGGAATCTTTAGTTCAATTCTGCTTTTCAAGGCATGGAAAATCAACCCAGGGCATAAGCTGTAAACTGCAAGGGGAAGGTGTTGGAACATGCACAAGATGAAAGTGGTAAAGGTATTGCTAACATATAAAATCCCAACTTTGGCCTCACAAGATGAAAGTGATTTGACATGCATATTAAGCACAGAGGGCATCACACTTACATGCACTAAAAGACGGGATGTTGCACTGCATATCTGGCCATTTGTCCAAAAGCAACCAAAGAGTGTCCACTCAGCCGCTGGAAGAAAGCAAGTAATCTACTATTAATAGAAACACCTGCATGATCACATACTTGCTTCCCCTATGTATTGTTGAAAAAAAATTCATTATAGAGTAAAAAACAAGGAATGCTAACAGGGAACCAACCCTTGTCAAGATCAACATCCTCAAAAACAATGATTGGGCTTTTCCCACCTAGCTCCATTGAAACAGGCTGACAAGATATTCCAATTCACAAGCAGTGATTAGATACAAACCAGCAAGCACAAAAAATTGTTCAGCACAAGACATACCTTGACCATTTGAGCTGCAGATGCCATTATCCTGCTCCCTGTAGCAGTGCTCCCAGTAAATGCAACCTGTCAACAACATATTAGCAATTAAAGCAAGGTAGATATAAAACCCAAAAGTAGTACTCATCAATATCTGACTTGAAAAGGTGTCCAACAAGAAAATAATAACAGAATACTGAACCTTGTCAACATGGGGATGAGATGCCAAAGGAGCACCTGCTTCAGTGCCCAACCCGGTTAAAATATTGAGGACACCAGGAGGAAGACCAACCTCCCTACACACCTCACCCAGCTCCAAACAAGTCCTGAAATCAGAAACATCATAAATGACATGGAACGTGGCCAACCACCACCAGAATTTATGCAAGCTCCAATAAATTAAGGGCACAGACGTACACAGATGCCAGTTCAGAAGGCTTCAGTATTGCAGTGCACCCTGCGGCCAGGGCTGGAGCCACTTTCCATGTAGCCAACAATAGTGGGTAATTCCTTCAATAAAAGAGACAAGAAATAGTTAGTTTCTATAACATCTGGTTTATCTGCTCCCTGTAGCAGTGCTCCCAGTAAATGCAACCTGTCAACAACTTATTAGCAATTAAAGCAAGGTAGATATAAAACCCAAAAGTAGTACTCATCAATATCTGACTTGAAAAGGTGTCCAACAAGAAAATAATAACAGAATACTGAACCTTGTCAACATGGGGATGAGATGCCAAAGGAGCACCTGCTTCAGTGCCCAACCCGGTTAAAATATTGAGGACACCAGGAGGAAGACCAACCTCCCTACACACTTCACCCAGCTCCAAACAAGTCCTGAAATCAGAAACATCATAAATGACATGGAACGTGGCCAACCACCACCAGAATTTATGCAAGCTCCAATAAATTAAGGGCACAGACGTACACAGATGCCAGTTCAGAAGGCTTCAGTATTGCAGTGCACCCTGCGGCCAGGGCTGGAGCCACTTTCCATGTAGCCAACAATAGTGGGTAATTCCTTCAATAAAAGAGATAAGAAATATTTAGTTTCTATAACATCTGGTTTATTATTAGAATTTAGAAGTAACAAATGAAGAGAGTCCCAAAAAACAAAAACTGACAGCCAACATGATTCCAAGAGACAACATACCATCACATTAGAGATCTTCATGAACTCATGAATGGGATCAAGGAATTAGGTAAGATATAAAACGAAGACGTAATAATGAAGTAGCAAATAATGATGGTAGCAATGGAGCAAAATGTATTTTACAGATGTCTCATTTCTTCACCAAAAAGGATTTTGACCAGTCCTCATTGATGATTGTAAACTAAATTGGAAAGCACAAAAATAACTTCAGTGAGGAACTAAAACCGTGGTTGCGTGCATTGTGACTTTAGCAAGTCGACATCTAGGTGACAATTATAAAGTTACAAGTTATAACCCAGACTACAGCATTCCAGATAGCATAGAAAGTAGAGTTCAAGTGCAACTACAAGCAACCAGTATAACTGCAACAACACATTGCATCTAGAGGAACTAAAACCATGGTTGCGTGCATTGTGAATTTAGCAAGTCAACATCTAGTTGACAATTATAAAGTTACAAGTTATAACCTAGACTACAGCATTCCAGTATAACTGCAACAACACATTGCATCTCAGGAGAAGTGAGAGTTAGATTGCGACAACAAATTCAATGGAGAACCGTAAAAGGTTGCTACAAGACTTGGATAGAAATAATTCACAACTGAAATCTAATAATGGAAAGCAGACTCTTCAAATAATATTCTGCAGAATTAAAGAAACCACTATCTTGCATAGACTTCAACTGAACAATTTTAAGAGAATGATTACTTTCAAAACAACATAGTACTTAAAAAGCTATGATGGCACCAGTGGTCTCAACTCATAAAGACATTTTATTAGCAATATAAAGATTATGGAAAAGGTAGAAGCTCCAGGCTCTTGAACATGCTAAGAAATTAATAAGTCACACTTCATTTTATATATTTTTTCCATGCAATGAATAGATCTTCTCAGATCCACACAATTCTTTCTTCCAGCTTCCTAATTTCCTATAATACAAAAACCAAGATGTGCTTTTTTTTACAATGCTACATTCATTGACATTGGTGTAGCTGAAAAAAATGTAGAGCTTACTGGTAACGATTCATTTTAAAACATTTGACACGCCCATGCCAGAAAATTTTTAATTACAAGAAGGTAAACATTACATAAGAAAGAAAGAAACAGGCATAAATGTATCACACAGCGATGCATCAGATACCATGGAGTGATCAGAGCAACAACCCCAAGTGGTTCTTTAAGAACAAAGCTCTTAAATGTTTCCATAGGAAGAGAAACAGGAGCTTTCTGCTTTGTATCTAAGCCTTCGGCAAGGTCTGCATAGTACTCAAAACATCCTGCAACATCATCCTGGACAACAAGAATTCCCACATAAGACAATGCACATAATATTCAACTCAATATCTCAATAGTGCCACAAGCATACCATGTCCCACAGAGCTTCATCTAGAGGTTTTCCACTATCAATCACATAAGGCAATGCACATAATACTCAACTCAATATCTCGATAGTGCTACAAGCATACCATGTCCCACAGTGCTTCATCTAGAGGTTTTCCACTATCAATTGCTTCAAGTTTTCCTAGTTCTGATTTCCTCTCTGTTATCTGCACACAAACAAAGATAAATAGGAGTTGGAACCCGGGACAAGCAGGGAAGTTCAATGGCCAACATTAAGAAAATTATTGATATAATTGCAGAAAAAAACTTCAATAACAAATGATTATCTCATACTCCATTAGAAAGAAAAATGGGTTCCGTATTTGACACACCATTTGTCATTAAAGTTTTGAATATAAAAAATGCGAGCATCTTATTTAGTAATCCAAGAAACCATCCCTCTCGGATTTTGACTCCAAACACTACAAAATGACAGAACATAACCTTTGTAGTTCCACACAACATTAACCTGATAAATGAAGAAAATTTCTTAAGAACATATATAGTGATCAGAAGTAAAGCGTAGACACATAAGCAAAACAAATAGCTATAACAGAGAAGAAATTCAAAACAATAAATGTTCACAATCACAGAGAAAATGAAACAATTCAGAAATTAATTACGTGCCAACAGATAACTAACTGCAAAATAAAATGATGAATCCAAGCAAACTGCAAGTTAGGAAAAGAAATCCAACATTATTAAGTAGTAATATATCTTGGGAGTTGCAAGTGACAAAAAAAATCAGCAAAATGCAAATTAAACTGTACCTTAGCAGCAATAGCACGCAAATATTTGGCACGATAAGCACCTGATGCGGAGGACCAATCTTTGCCTTTGTTCCTAGAAAATGCTTTCTTAGCTGCTTCAACTGCAATCTCCACATCTTCTGCAGTGGCTGCTGGTATATCACCTGAACAAGTACCATGTTCCACAAAACCATAAAGATCAAATCTTTTCAAGGTTGCAAGTCTTTTATGAGATTCAAGATCACTGAACAGCTAAAATAACAAGAGCCCACAAATTTAAAGCAAGAAAAAAAATTCATTAGTGACATAAATGAACGGTTTAACCCAGCAAAACACACATATACGGATATATACTGAGTAAGTAAACTGACCGATGATCTGTTCAGTGGCAGGGTTGATAACGGGGATGCGTTTTTTGAGAACGGTTTCTCTCCATTCTCCGTCGATGAATAGCTGTCGATTAGGTAGATGGATCGCCATGTTCACTCTGACTGTGGTTCTGTGAGTTGTTGAATATGATGCAATTGTTTCTTTTCGTGTTTTATAAAGGTTTTTGAAAATTTTCATTTTTTATTTAATTTTTTAATATTTTTTTAATTTTAATAAATTAATTTTAAATAATAATCACCACTGCGTATATAAATATCCATAAAAAATAGTTATTTGTTGATATTTTCTGTGCAAGCTCCACGATGCTTGACTTTATTTCGCGGGAATGCATAAAGTATTAAAACAAGTTTCAAAATTAAAGGGATTTTTTTCTTTAAAAAGAATTATTCGATGGAATATCACTTTTGTAATTCTATTTTGTGTACAAATCAATCCATATTTTGTGTAAAACTTTTTTTTTTCAAGTTGTTTTTGACACGATATTGCAAAAATGAGATTACTTATTACAACAATGTTTTAGGATTTAAAGGTTATTCTTATCCATTAATTGTTTTTTATTTTAAATTAAATTCAAGAAAATATTTACAATATCAAATCTATTTTCCAATAATTCAATAAACTTAACCAAATTCATCCAAAATCTGATTTTGTCAACGCTTTAATAAAATAAATGTTGACTTATCTTTGATGGAGGCCCTGTACTGGTTAGTCTTCCGACCGAATTTGACAAATATGCTTGAGAGTTATAATTATTGTGGAAACCTCACCACAAAATTACAGTACATGCTTAATTACTGTTCATGTAAAAAAAACATATCAGCTACCCGTGTGAGTAGTAAAAATTTCAGTACATACTTAATTATTATTAATTTTAAAATCTATAAAATTAATTAAAAAATAAATTGATTCGAATAACCATTTAATTTAAAAATAAAAAAACACATCAGGTTGCTCCAAAACTGATCTCCACCTTCGGCGACTGTGAAGTTAAGTGGTCGGGGACCAGATTTACTCAGCACAGTGTCGGGCACATCAAGTCATCACGGCAGACATTTCTGGTTCTCATGCAGTTCTACCTGCTCGGCAAGTCTCTGAGATATTGTTGATGGTAGCAGTGCCGTACCACTAACGGCCATGGTAGAGCTAAAGAAATGGAAGATCAAAGCCGGTAAGGCCATAACGTTCTCTTTGTCACCATTGAAGATGAATTATTGCAGCGAATAAAAAATGTGAAGACACCCAGGAAGGCACGGGACACTCTGGCGGTCTGACGAACAATGCAAAGCTCCAAAGACTGGAGAACGAGCTCTCGCCAATCTCCCAAAAAGACAAGACAGTGAGCAAATACTTTTCTGAAGTTAAATATCTTTGTGAAGAAATTTCGAAATTTGATCCTCTGTATGCAATATCAGAGGCAAGGATGAGGAGAATTATTATCCATGAGTCAAGGCGATATCATTACGGCGACCCGAGGATGAGCAAAAGAACCAACTTTTACTAGGATGGAGAATATCTTGGCCAATCAAAAGGCTCTAGAAAAAGATGTCTAAAGTCTCGATGAATGATGAACAAGCTTTTCTCGGGCTTTTTTTTGCTTATTAGCATATATTTTTTTAAATATTAGTGAAATAAAATATTTTAAAAAAATTAAAAAAATTGTACAATTTATATATGTCAAATAAATATAACAATCAAACTTGTTATTATTTTGAATTGCAGCGTTTTAAAAAATATATTATGAAAATAGCTACACATGATAAGAAATAAAAAAAACTAAAAAAAAACTCTAAAGGTATATCACAGCTCCGATTACCACATTACTAGTATTATTAGAAAAATTTTAATAAAATAAATTCAATGACACTAAAAAAGATTATTAATAATGATTCGAGTATACTACACACCGTCCAAATATGGTAAATGACTTGCCTTTGACAACAAATGTGGCCCATTAAAGTCACCGTTTGTGACTTTCTTTAATGTAGTTGGATTTTTTTGTTCAAATATTTTTTTGTGGTATTGATAATATTGTAATTAAAGTTTCGTTGCACTTTCAAGGTCTTTTTTATTTTTTATTCCTTTCTCTTATTTCTTCTCATTGTAATTTATGAAAGAGAGATGAGATAGAAAAGGAAAGAAAGACAGAAAGAAAAGAATTTAGAGGTACACTAAAGCTCCAATTATAACACCATAAAAAAGATCTCGATGAGACAGTGAACTGAATGAGCCATACTTATCACCAAAGACAAGTGAGTCATTTGCCACCTTTGGAAAACAAGTGTGGCATACATAATTCATCATTAATAACTCTTACAGGTGTGACATACATAATTCATCATTAATAACTCTTACTAGTATCGTTAGATTTGTTTTGTCAAGATCTTTATGATGTACTGGTGGTGTCATAATTGGAGCTTCAGTATGTCTTTAGGATCTCTTACTTTATTTTTTGCTCTCTTCGCTCTTCTTATGTGCAATCCATTTCACTATTTTTTAAGATGTTGTGATTCTGAATCATGAGAAGCTTGAGTGTTGTGTTTTCCAATCATGACATGAACAAATTGTATTATTTCACTATTTATTTTTAAATCGAGTTATTTCATCAATATATAAAAAAACATGTTAATTGTTTTTTTTTAAAATCCATTTTTAGTAACTCAAAGGGTTTAATAAAAACAACAACAACAATGTCAAAGATATTGACAAAAAAGAGTATGTAGAAAAAGCTTCCAATGAGAGGGAGCATGCCTATATGAAAACGTTGAAGATAATAAATATTGGCAATGAAACAATCAATGCTATAATTATAAAAGGAGTCATCACTTTGCTAATGACTATAACTTTAGATGAATTAAGGGTAATGTTGCCATTTTTGCTGAGAATGATCTTTCACAATAAGATAATTAGAGGATATTAATTATCAAGCCAAAAAAAAGACAATACTTGTAGTTATAAATTAATAAATTATGAAAATGATTAAATTATGGATTCGGGGTGCTCTAATCACATAACTAGAGAATTGTTTTTTTTTTTTTGAATATAAAGATAAATGAGTGAGGGTGCTCTAATCACATAACTAGAGAAAAAAAATTAATTTTTTTTTGAATATAAAGATAAATGAGTGGTTGTAACAAAAAATGATTTAGGGTTGTCGATCACTTATATCATTCAAACACTGGTTAGATCTCAATTTATCACACATAAATTGGAGCCATAAAATGTTCTTCACATGTTAGGAATGAAAAAAAAATCTTATATAATTCTTGCAACTCACAGTTGATGAAAACTATGTAGTTTTCGATCCAAATGATATCAATGTAAATCAAACATTAAAACTTATAAGAGAGACAATCATAGATAGAGGAAGGCTTAAGTTTGTGTATGTGATGTCAAAATAAACAACATATGTAGGCAAGATGGGAAAGTACGAGACCATGGATTTATAGCATGCATGTTTTGGACATGTATGTTACACTAAGATGAAGGTGATGATAAAGAAGACACTATTTAAAGGTCTTCCCTTATTAGAAGTTTAAGAAAACTCAGTCTTTGTTAGATTCTAATATGGAAAGGCACATCAATTACAATATGAGGAGTCAACCTTCAAAGCAA